TCTTATATTTAAATTATATTATTTTTAAATATGTATTGTTATTGTGGAAGAACAGTATATTTTAAACAAAAACTTGTATTACTTTGTGGTTTAAAACCTAAAAACCTAAATAAATTCGTACATCAGATCATTCTTCTAATAATTTAACAACCCAACAGCTATTTTTTTTTTTTTTTATAATATACGAATAATATTTGTACTTTATAGATAATTATTGTTATTTTTTTATAGAATAGTTATTTGAAGCAACACATACAACAAAAATCAATTTTTTACTTCTTTTTAGGCATGTTTCAAAACACAATTAAATTGAATTTAATTGACACTTTATTTCACAAAATAATCGTATTTATTTATATATATTTTTTTTAGTTTAATTAAGCTTAGCGAACTTTGTTCTGTTAGTTTGATTTGCTCAGTGCACTGCAGCGAGGATGTTCACAAGTATTTGGCAATCGAGCCCAAGGAGCAAGGAGCAACGCGTTCTGAACATCACTGATGTAACTGACGCGAGTGAATAACTTCAAAAACAACGCGAAACTTGGCAAACGGCAGCAGCGGCGACAACGACGACTAACGGTGCCGACAGCTGTGTGGCCAACGACAAGCGACAGACGACCAGCGACGGTGTTCGGCTTCGTGCTTGGCACTGAATGACGAGCCCAAACACTTGCTGGCATTTAAGAGCCTCAAATCGTGGCGCGCAAGCAAACACGAGGACGATGATGGCGGTTCAGCTTGCAAGAAGCGACCATCGCACGGCTCGTGCGGCACGCACACACACTCTGGCACCCTGCCATACACACACGTGCACAGAGGCACACATGTATATGTATTCATTGCAGCGGCTCACAACTGTTCGATTGTCATAGCACAGTTATGTGCGCTGCGCTCGGCTTCAGCGCGAGCGCCGGCAAGGCGCGTACAGCTGACGAATTGGCGCCAAAACCCGAGCTGAGCATTGCGCAGCCGTGAAACTGTTATACACTTGATGCAGTCGCTGCGTAGCACAGTTGACTCCAGGCCCGTTTCAGCGCAGCAGTGAACTCTATGATAAAAAGAAACTGTTAAATTTGTAAATAATTTGTAAAGAATATAAAATAATAAATAGAGCACAACTGATTCATCTTTTAAGAAATTATCCAACTACTCATTAATATTATAATTTACTTTTAATATTATATTTTTACTGATGTTTTAAGAGACATATTTTTAAAAATACCTAATTACTTAATAACTGCTAAAGCTAAAACTTATCAATCTCTTATGAAATTATATCACAATTTACTTATTTTTATACAAAAGCAAGCTAATTTTAAATAATACATACAATATAAACACAAGAAATAAAAAATAAATATGTCAAATATATTAAAAAAT